CTGGCATAGATTCAACAAGGAGTTAGAAACATTCCTCAGAGATTTTAGTCCATATTGACATGAGGTACTGTTGCCTTTCCATCAATCTACCCAATCTCCTCTGACATCAACAAGGCATTTTTGTCCACACAACTGTTGCTCACTGGATATTTTCTCTTTTTGGACCATTCTTTGTAATCCCTAGAGATGGTTGTGCGTGAAAATCCCAGTAGATCAGCAGTTTTTGAAATGCTTAGACTAGCCCATCTGGCACCAACAACCATGCCATGTTCAAAGTCACTTAAATCCCCTTTCTGATGCAAGGTTGGAACTTCAGTAAGTCATCTTCACTACGTCTTGATACCGAAATGCACTGAGTTGCTGCCATGTGATGGGCTGTTTATCAAGTTTTGTCACCAAACAACTGAACAGATGTACCTAATAAAGTGGCTGGTGAGTGTATGAAAACACGTAATCACAATGAAATATCACATTATCTAAAAAAGATTAAAAAGGAAGTTATAATCTTATTATATCTTTGGTTTGTTGTATTCACTATCAATATTGCTTGAAATGTGTGTGTTAGAACGTAGCCCTGCCCAAGTAGTTGTTTAAAGTGTGAACATTTGTTTCGTGTATATTCAATTCACACTGAATGCTATTTCAAAGTGGTGCAATTTGGTTCAATTTAAAGCACAACTTCAAAGTAGCGCTGATATAGTCACAGGTGCGATTTCAGTACTATTTACCTTATAGTCTGTGAGAGTTAAATTGCACTGAAGTGGTGAAAAAGTAATGCAGGAACTATTTTTCAAATTGCGCTACTTGAAATTGAACCTGTTAAGACATTGCCATAGAAATACATTAGATGCAACGTCAGGTGGGATTTGTAAGCCCTGTGAACCAGGGCTTAGTCATGCAGACCTCTATTCTATAAGAAATTGTACAGTCAGTTTGAAATTTTAAATTCTCATGGGACCTTTCAGTGACCCTGTTCTATGCTCGTAAGGCTATCTTGCTGCATTGGAGGAGACCTGCAGCTCCTACTGTCTCATATTGGAAATCCTTGATTAGCAAGATGTTACCATTATATAAGGCAACCTACTTGAGCAGAGGTTACCCCAAAAAATGTGATCAGGTCTGGCATTGTTGGGTTTCTGCCTCCTCCACCCTAGCATGAACATTTTGGGGGGGGGGGGGGTTGCAGATGTGCCTGCTACTATGTTTAGTTCTTGGTATCTGTTGGAAAATAGCTCCTATATATAGATTGTCTAATATTACCTTGCTTGTGGTTCTCTGGGTATGTTGTATGTAAAGTTTATATGTTATACGATTGCGGCACCTGCACTTTGACTCTGTTTAAATGAAGGCATTGCACTGTTGTTGGGAAGGGGGGTGGGGGGTGGGATAATTTTGCAATTTTTGTTGTTTTATTTTGTTTTTACTGGCTGTGCCAGTTGCTGTATTTTTATACTTGTTCAATGTTAAATTAAAATTAATAAAAATAATTTTCCAAAAAAAAGCACACAAACACATCTGCTGCTATTTAGAATGGCATATACATTTTCTACATTAGTAATAATTTTTCACTTGGTACAATTATCCTTGAATGAATGCAGCCAATCCCATTAAGTGCAGCCCACCCGGTCTGATGATCACCTTCATTCTTGATCCAGCTCTCTACATGAGAATAAATGGAGCTGCAGCACACATGCATAGGCTGGAAAGGACTCAGCAAGTCACTAGGTCCAGGACCCAGTGAATATGAAAGTTTTTTTTTATCAGGTGTCCTTCTATGGACAAGAACCACTCCTTGAAAAAATGGATTGCGCATGCCACTTTATACACTATTTTATTTGATGGGATCATCTCAGTTAGGTTATACTTTATGAATCTTTATTCAAAGTGAAACTTTACAGTCTAATCCAGAATAAATAATAAATACACATACACCAGATTCAGGTAGTTCTTACTCATGGCACTTCAGGAACCTGTTACTCTGGCTGCAACAGATTAAAAAAAAAATACTGTCAGTTTATAGACAGGAAAGCAAGTGGTAATTAAGACCAATTCTCAGTTGGCATACAGAAAAACTCCAGGACTCAAAGGTTACTTGGTTGCTGGATGCTGGTGGCTTACTGGGTCATGGCAAACAGTGATGACAATAACTAAACATGGAAGTGACCATATTTGGACAATTACAGGAATCTCCCAGTTGGCAGCTGAATGGGGCCAGGGATGAGTTATTGTAATGACTGTGTCAGTTACATAGCCAACAGTATCCTAGGAACAAATAACATAGGGGCACACTTGCCAGTGGGCAAAGCCTGATAAGGAACTGTGAGAAAGTAATTCCCTATCAGATTTGCCAGCCTTGTGATTGACAGTGGACAGCAGTGGGTAGATTTCATTGCCGCTATTCAGGGAACTAGTCTCTGAGCAGGGGCGGACTGACAACTCATTGGGCCCCTGGGCAATAGGGGATCATGGGGCCCCTGTGTCCTTGCACAAACTCAAAAAAGCCTATGAAAAAGGTACCAGGGGCATCTCATAGGACCCCCTACTGACCCTGGGCCCTCGGGCAGTGCCCCAATTTCCAAATGGTCACCCCTGTCTGAGTTCTCCATCAGATTACTTGTACCCCACAATTAAACTGTGTCTGTCTGTGTGATAGGTACAATGATTGGGGAGGGAGATTAGTAATGCTGAGCCTGTGATTTTAGCAGGTACAGAGTTAGTGAGCTGCACTGAGGAACAAATGAATGCAACTGTTCCTGACAGGTACATGAATGAATCTGTCACACGTACCTACTTTTGAAGGCCAGAAGTGGTGGTGGAAACTGGTAATGGTGGCACATTCATTTTATATCTTCATACTTTATTGAAAGTATGATGGTCCACACTGTTAGAGGGGAGGTGTCTGTCTGTAACAAAACCTGCTTCATTGAAGGCCCTCCTCAAAGTGCCATATTTTGGGCTCCCTCTGGGATCATGACCGTAGTCAGCAATTTTGTATTATGTATCAGGAATCCGCTATGGTGGCCCCACCGTTAGTTATCCTTCTCTATCTGTTTTAGCATGAAAGACCCATTTGCCATAAATTGCCTGCAGCAGAGGACATTGAGTCCTCTGTGTCAATGAGGGTAACACTGTCTTCAACAGTCTTGCCCCAGACATATACAACTCCTATGTTTGCAAGTAGTGAAGGATTCCTTTTATTTCTGCCCTATTTTCTCCTATTCCTTCTTTTTGCCAGCACTTTAACAATCCTCCTCCTCATTTTTCATCTCCTGCTTCCTGCTGCAGAGATAGAGGTATTTGGGAAAAGGATCCTGGTCCTGGCCTTGCAATAGGCAAAGGATACTGGCTGTCAGGAATGGACTGGCCAGCAATAGTGGGACTCACCTGCCTTATGAGCTGCAGTACCAGGGCTGGCCAGCGGGTGCTCCCAGCAATCAGAGACCTCAACCTTGCAGCCAGTCAAACACCTGGAACTAATTATACTGGTGTATTTAAGGGATGGCCAGACCAGCAGACTCTGCCTTGGTGTGTGTTTTTTCCTGGCCCTGTATCTTGTAAACCTGCGTTTCCTGTTTCCTGTCTCGTTGCTGACCCTGCTTGATTCTGACCTCTGCTGACTTCTCCTGTTCTGATCCCTGGCTTGTGACCCTGACCATCCCTCTGCCTGACCCTCTGTACCTACGCTGCCCGCTACCTGCTGAACCTGGCTTGTGACCCCGACCATTCTCCGCTTGCTCCCCCTGTACCTACCTGCCCGATTGATATTGACCCGGCCTGCCTGGCGATGCTTGCATTGTATGTACTGTTATCTGTGGGTGGTTGGTTTGGTTTGTTTGCACTGTGTTATGTTTTTAGTATTGCACTACGTTTATGTTTGTATTGTTAGTGTTAATAAATTATATTGTTTATAACATATCTGAAGTCTGCGTTTCCCTGCGTCAGTCACATACCTCTGGTCACACCCGGGAGCCCTGACATTACACCAAGGCCAATCCTGACCAGAAGTGGCTGCACAGGGAAGCCATCTTGGTTTGTTGATGGGAAGGATGGATCTTGATGAGGTTGTGTATTTATCTTGCTAGTGTTTGATGACAGAGAGTATGCTTATCAAACTCTGAAGGAGTATCCCCACGGGATGAACTGCTAGAATGTATACGGCTCGCTCATGTTCTAGTAGATCAGGGCACAGAATTCTCTGAGGTGCAGCCATTGATTCAGATTTGTGCGGAGGTGTTGGTTTCATCTGGTACCACCCCCGAATGCAGGGATGAATTTTTGCCGCCATTTAGTGCTGACCAGGTAGAGTCCCTGGGTGTGGTTATTAGAGGATGATGTGGATTGCTTCTTGGAGCATTATGCTGCATGTTCACCACAGACACTAAGAGATTGTATAAACGCAGTGCAGTCTTTGGTCAGACAGGCTTTGTGTAAGCTCAGCTTTGTTCAACCCATACTGCAGACATGGACAGATTTGTTGCACCCCAGCCTCATCAGTCTGCTTACAAAAACCCAGTCCTGCTTCTAATCTATTTCCTCAAAGCTCTATTCCTGCATTCCCAACAGCTCCTCCTGCCCTGCTATCTACCGCATGTCAGTACCCTGTTTCCCACTCGCTGCACCTATCCTGCCTTTAACCCTGTAAAAAAGCCCTCTGTAAGCAACTGCTCCATCCTCTGTTCCATCCTCCAGCTCTTCTCTGTCTCCCAGCTGCTCCATTCATTTTGCAGACCTGCGTTTACTTGCAGTGCTCCAGTAGTTAAAACCAGAAAAAAGTGAAAATTCTTTCCAACCAATACCATCCTGCCAGTATCCAAAACCGGTCAGCCTGCCGTCTGAGAACCTGCCTTCCGTGGTTCAGCCTGATGCCTCTCTTAAGCTTGAAGCCTCTACTCAGCCTGAAGCCTCTACTCAGCCTGAAGCCTCTACTCAGCCGGAAGCCCTCTACTCAGCCGGAAGCCTCTACTCAGGGGCCGGATGCCTCTACCCAGCATAATGAACTGATCCAGCCTGATGATCCTATTAGCCCGTTGACTCGATGCCCGCTGTTGATCCAGATGATCCGGTACCTGATCCGGTGCCCGCTGTCGTGCCAATTGACTCAGAGCCCGCTGTCGTACCTGGTGACTTCTCGGTGCCCACTGCCTTGCAGATGACGCGGTGCCCGCTGGCGAGCCAAATGACCTGATGCCTGGTGAGCCCCAGTGCCTGCTGTCATACCTGGTGACCCGAAATGCCCGCTGTCGAGCCAGACGATCCAATGCCAGGGACGACTCGGTGCCCGCAGTCTTGCCAGACGACTCGGTGCCCGCTGTTTCCGCCAGTTGACTCGATGCCCCGCTGTTCCGCCAGTTTGACTCGGTGCCCGCAGTCTTGCAGACGACTCGGTGCCCGCAGTCCCTTGCCAGACAACTCGGTGCCCGCAGTCTTGCCAGACGACTCGGTGCCCGCTGTTCCGCCAGTTGACGCTCGATGCCCGCTGTTTTTTCCCCGCCAGTTGACTCGGTGGCCCGCAGTCTTGCCAGACACTCGGTGCCCGCAGTCTTGCCAGACGACTCGGTGCCTGCAGTCTTGCCAGACGACCGGTGCCTGCAGTCTTGCCAGACGACTCGGTGCCCGCAGTCCTTGCCAGACGACTCGAAGCCCGCTGTTCCGCCAGTTGGCTCGGTGCCCCGCAGTCTTGCCAGTTGACTCGGAGCCCACTGTTCCGCCAGCGACGACTCGGTGCCCGCAGTCTTGCCAGACGACTCGGGTGCCCGCAGTCTTGCCAGACGACGACTCGGTGCCCACTGTTCCGCCTGGGGGCCCGGCGCCCGCCGCGCCGCCTGGGGGCCCTGGCGCCGGCCGCTCCGCCTGGGGGCCTGAGACCTGTCACTCTGCCTGGGGGCCTGAGACCTGTCGCTCCGGCCTGGGTGCCTGAGACCTGTCGCTCCGCCTGGGAGTCCGGTGCCCGCCGCTCCGCCTGGGGGCCCGAGACGTGTCGCTCGCCTGGGGGTCCGGCGCCCGCCGCTCCTGCCTGGGGGCCTGAGAGACCTGTCGCTCCGCCTGGGGGTCCGGGGCCCGCCGCTCCGCCTGTGGTGTCCGGGGCCCGCCGCTCCGCCTGGGGGCCCGAGACCTGTCGCTCCGCCTGGGGGGCCCGATGCCTGTCGCCGCCCCGCCTGGGGCCCGATGCCTGTCGCCCCTCCTGGGGGCCCGGACGCCCGCCGCTTAAAACCGCTTGGGGGCCCGATGCCTGTCGCCCCGCCGGGGGCCCGCCTTGCCTGTTTCGCCCCGCTCCTGGGGGCCCCGATGCCTGTCGCCACCGCCGGGGGGCCCGTGCCTGTCAGCCCCGCCGGGGGGCCCGTGCCTGTCGCCCCCCCGCCGGGGGCCCGGTGCTGTGCCGCCGGGGGCCGGGTTGTGACGCCCCGGGGGGCAGAGCCTGTCGCCACTGCGGGGGTCCGGTGCCTTGCTGCTCGCCGGTGGGCCCGTGTTCTGTCCGCCCCCGGGTGGCCCCGTGCTGTGCTCCGCTGGTGGCCCGCTGCTCCGCACTGGTCGGGCCCGGTGCTGCTGTCCGCTGGTGGCCGGTGCCTGCTGCCTTCCGCCTGGGGGCCCGGGGCCTGCTGCTAATTTTGGGCCCGGGAATCCGATGGTTTTCCCTGCCCGGGGTCCACCCGATGTGCCTTTTGCCCCAGTCCCAGCCCGATGTGGCCCTGCCCGGAGTCCAGCCCCCATGTGCCTCTGCCCCGGGGTCCCAAACCCCCATTTCCTCTGGGCCCGGGAGTCCAGCCCGATGTGCCTCTGCCCGGAGTCCAGCCCGATGTGGGCCCCTTCCGCCCGGAGTCCACCCGGGTGTGCCTCTGCCCGATGGGCCCCCTGCCCCCCGGGGTTTCCCCTTCCCCGGAAAACCCTGCCTGGGGTGCCCCGTCCCAAATTTTTATACCTGGCCCGTTACCATACCCGGGAGGGCTGGAAACAAATTTTTCCCCCCCTAGGACTGTTTTGGGGGCCCTCCTGAGGCCGCTCCTTGAGGGGGGGTACTGTCCAGGAAAAGACTGGCCAACAATAGTGGGGCCCAAAACCCAGCCTTTTAAACTGCAGTACCAGAGCTGGGGCCCCGGGTTTTCCCCCCAGCAATCAAACTCAACCTTGCAGCCATCAAACACCTGGAACTGATTATAACTGGGGGTATGGGCCCGAAACCCGCAGACTCTTCCTTGGGTGGGGTTTTTTTCCTTGGGCCCTGTATCTTTTAAACCCCGGGGGGAACCTGTTCCTGGGGCTCGTGGGTGGGCCCGCTTGGGGGGGGGTTTCTTCCTCTGCTGACTTTCCCCCTGTTCTGGGTCCCTTGGGTTGTGACCCGACCAACCTTTTTGCCT